GGAAGTGCCGTGACGCTGGGGAGCGCGTGGCGGGGATCTGTGTGCGGTAGGTGGGTGAGGGAGCGGCTGCAGCCCCGCCGGGCCGGCCGCGCTCTCCGTCCCCGTCCCGCTCCCGGTTTGCTCCCCCCGCTCCCTACAACGGCGGCTGCCTGGCCGCCGACCCCCAGCAGCGGTTGCGTGGCCGCCTTCACGCTCTCCCCCTTCCTCTCCCCCTCAACGGCCGTTGCGCAGCCGCCTTCCAACCCTAACCCCCCGCACCCCCTTTTGGGATAGCCAGGGAGCTGCCCCATTAAGCTTCATGTGAGAAGTTGGGGTGATTTCCCAGGCCCGCCCCGCATTAGGTGTTGGGGGTCTTGGTTGTCCCTGCAGTGCTCTGGTTCCTGAGACTGTTGGTGTCTTCTCGCTCTCCTCAGAGGTGCTACCTGACACCATGTTTGTCCTGGTAGAGATGACTGACACAGTAAGAATTCCTCCCTGGCAGTTTCAAAGGAAACTGAATGAATCCATTGCTGAAGAGCTAAACAAGAAATTGGCCAATAAGGTAAAGCATGGGTCATGTATAGATTGATGCAGGTGTCATAACATCCCTGAGTGTTTCCTCCTTTTTATTTGTTCCTAATGAGATGTGTGGTGAGGGAATAGAGTAGTTTAGATGTGAACACCATCCCTAGCAACTGAAATAACAGAGACTGTGAATAAAGAGACAGCCACGTATCACCTCAAAGGGGGCTTTTTTATAATGGCTAATGCTGTAATGGGAAGATACGGAGATACCAGATGGGACAGAGGAGCATCGAAGAGAAGTGAGAGTAACTGCTAGTTTGTGTGTAGAGCAGCAATCTGAAGCAGATTCTGACACGCTAACCTATCCAGTGAGGGAGTTTTAAAAAGGTGATGTAAATAAATGTGAAAGAGTAATACTGGAAGAGAAATGAAGGTGTTAATAGCTGACTTGGTCTGTGCTTAGTGCTTGAAATATAGTGTGGCAGTAAGATGGTCTTTGGTGAAGGGTGTAAAAAAGCATTCTGTTGTAGACCAGGAGGTCACAGTTTCCCTGTGTGGCCCCTGGGACTGTGATTAGCATATGGCTTTCAGTGTGAGGCAGGTGTAAAACTCAAAATGCTGCTTGGAAACATGAAGGGAGCTCAAAAGAGCAACCTGAAGTGATTAAGGGTTGTGAATAGCAGATCATACAGACGAGCAAAAGTCTTCCCTCATCCACCGATGTCTGGTAGTTGCCTCAGATTTTGTAGGCTGTGAAGCCATCTCAGTAGTAGCAGAGAAATGAAGCGCTGTCCTCATCTCTCCCCAGAGCTAATATAATTAAAGACAAAGGCAAGCTTAGAGGCTTCTGAGAGCCGAACTCTAGAGAAAAGTATATTTAGCCTTTGTAGAAGCTGTGAGGCTGGTGAATGTCAGTGGGCAGCTGTTTACTATATTGACAGGTCAGTTCTCTCACTTCTGACAGTTGCTCCAAGGGTTTCTGTTTGTAGCAGTGATTTTTTCAGTGCCAATGAAAACACATGCTCCTGTAACACTTGTGTAAGTTAGGGGTTCCCCTACAATGCAGTGTGGTTAGGGCCGGGGCTGTTGAAGGGAGTGTACCAAAACAGCCTCCTTCCCATCTTGCTACCCTTCTGTTGCCTTCTTTTGAAAAGTGTGTGTAGTGCATAAATTTGATGGTTTGCTTGATTTAACCTGGTGGGTTGCTTGATTTATTGCATTTAATTTTTTTTTTTTTCTTTGAGCAGGTTGTATACAATGTCGGCCTGTGCATCTGTCTGTATGATATCACAAAGCTGGAAGATTCATACATATTCCCTGGAGATGGTGCATCACATACCAAAGGTGTATGCTTGTCGTCAGTTACATAGTTTTGCAAGTTAGTGATCTGGAAATGTAAAACTTGAGTTCAATTGTTAGGGAAAAGAAATTTAAAGGAATTTATTGAAGTTCATTAACTCTGTTCATATTAGGAGGGCATGAGGAACATGGCAACAGTATCTTCTTTTCTTTGCATTTTTTGGGTACAAATACAGCTTTAAATAGCCATTCCTGTTTGCCTTCTCCAGCAGCCCATCTCTGTTCTACAATTAGAGCCATAGGTGTGGGGTAACAAAGGGGTTAATTTAATTTAAAATTATTGGAAATCTGCATGTAGAAAATAAGTTGTATTAATTGTTGTGTGTTTCTCTAGTATTTTTTCATTTTGAAGCTTAATTTCCCTAGCTAGAATGTTGAAATATGCTTCTACATAATAACATTTGCACAGCATTTGGTGCTGTTTTCCTAGCTGGAAGTTGTGCTACATTTTTGTTTGAGACTTAGACAGATCTGGTTCAGCATACATTTCTAGTCACTTTAAAAAAAAAAAAAAAGAATGACTAATTTCTTTACCTTGATTTTTGACAAATCTGTCTGTGTAAAAACTGGAAGTAAATGCATAATATAAAATTTCATATTTTTCTAAAGTTTAAATTTCTTTAAACTGCTAAGAGATGCATTTTTCTAGTTTAAATTTTCAACGTGGAAATGTAGCTTGAGCAAATGAAGTCTTTGCTGTTAGAAGGGAACTGACTGTATGTGGCTCCCCTTGTCTAAATTTTAACTGCAATAGAACTCGCTCCCTGCAAATAAAAGTTTCTCTAATACTAAAGGAGGATGACAGGCTTTCCTTCTTGCTTTAATCTCCATTCAGCTTCTTAACTTGGAATTAGTCCTTGAACTGAAATGAGAATATATTCTCTCTGAGCTTGGAAAAAAGGCTGCTTTCGGAATCTGGGGTAGCACTTTGATAAATCCTGCTGTGTCTGGTAACAAGACTTTCTTTAATGTGCTGCCTGATTGTATGTAAAAGGAATACTGAGTATAGACAGCTAAAATAATGTTAAATTGCTCATAAGCATTGTTTGGCTAAGATTGTCTTAGTATAGCATTTGTATAATTATAAATGCAAAATGCATAGTTAGAAACTTCTTATTTAACCTGGATGTGAAATCCAGTAATGTTAGAGAATCTTCTTTACTTTGATAATATTGTATATCAAATATTTAAAGAAAATATAGCATTGCTAACAAAGATAAAAGGAACAAAATTATTATAAGAAAGTATAATTTCAACTGATACTATTGGCCTTGAAGCATTGTGTAGGAATGCTCATATTGTAACTTAAGCAGAGGCCCTGCTCCGTGTTCTTCATCTCACAGTTTCATTCTGTGAACTTGCAAGATTGAAGAGCAGAGAACAAGACACTGCTGATCAACCACTGTTGAATTCGTACAAAACAGTTAGGAATCAGAACTTTTATTCCCATTTTTCTGTCTAATCAGTGCCTGTAAGGAAATTGTAGAAGAAACCGGGTAAGCATTTTAGAGGACATATAGGGTGTGGGATTTTGTTTTAATGGCTGCCACCCTGTGGAAGGAGTATAGTTTATTAACACGGGCATAACATTAATGATCTGTTTTCTTTTAAGTGCATTTCCGCTACGTGGTGTTCCATCCCTTCCTGGATGAGATTCTGATTGGACAGATTAAAGGTTGCAGTCAGGATGGTGTCCACGGTAAACTCCAACTTCTAAATTAGGGGCGCATGAGCTGCAGAGCTTGTGGGTCTTTTGAGATACTGTGATTTCAGGTTGTATAGTGCTGTGTGTAGGCTAGTCAAAGACTAATTATGGGCCTCTAACACTGCTCTGACATGAGGGTGGTTGGTAGTTTGAGCCTGGCAGCTTCCCCTGCCCTTGATGGTTTTGTCTGCACTCCCCTTTCCTTTTGTAATTTATGTGCATGCCCAAGAAGAATGGGCAAGCCCATCTGGAGCGTAGACTGGAGTCATCTTCTTGCTTCAGTTAACAGAACTTGTTTTATTTAAAGTGGTAGTATTGGCTCATGCTGGTCTAATGTATCTTCCCTATAATTCTGTGCAAATTCATAATTGTTTTCTGTACCTGAAAGCATGGCAGGGAAATGTCTTTGTGAGCACAAAGTGCTGTCAGGTTCATGGAATACATAGTCGATGAGTTGCTTTCCTTTCTTGTAGGAGTCTTCTATGCAAGCAAGCTCCTCTGCTCTGTTGTTAAGTTAGAACAATAAGATTGGGTGTATTTGTTGCTGAATTTGGGCATGTCCACTGATAAAATTCAGCATCGTGAAAGCTCAAGGGGGAGGTGGGGGCTGTTCTAACGTTATATTGGTCTTTATTTAACATGTTACATCTGTGATTTCTAAGCTTTTCTGTAACAGACCTCTGTAGCATCTGACTCACTTCTTGGAACGCTTTCATTTCCAATCCCGCTCCAAACAGCCTTTTCCTTTCCCAGCGGGCACGAAGACTGTGCCCTCTGTTGCTGTATGTACTTTCAGCTGGGTGGTTGCTTTTGCTGCCAACTGAAACTGAGTGTTGTGGCTCAAAGAATAATTCCTGCATGATCTCAGATGTCCTTGCTGAAAGAGGAAGGAGGATGAGTCTAGAAATGCATTTTAGGAATTGCTGTGGTACATCATTTGCAAAGAATCGTTTCAATCTTAATCAAATTCTTTTCTCCACAGTTTCTATTGGATTCTTTGATGATATTGTCATCCCACCAGAATCCCTGCAGCAGCCAGCTAAGTTGTATCCTTTGATCACCTTTGATAACTTTACTACTTCATTTCAAAAGATTGTGCAGTGCTGGCCCAACAGGCATTCACTACTGCAACAATGAAGGTGCTCAGTGGCAGAAGCTAAGCCGCTGTGTTGGGCAAGTCCTGCAGACTGTTATCATAGCTAGACAGGCCTCATGTTTATTAGGTTTTGCAGGATCATTGTGCCAGCGGATAGAAATGAATGGCAGTGTCCCCTGAACACCCTCATTGTAATCCCTGCCTCTAGTCTTGGCTGTTGCTGAAGACTGAATGCTGGTTTTATCACATCATGTAATGTCTGGATACATGGTATGTCTAATATTCTTAATTGTGGTAGGCGAGGTCATCTTGGGTTTGAGGGGTTTTTTTTGGTTTGGGGTTTTTGAACTTTGCCCAGAAACATGCACCTTGAACCAGGAAATTCAGAAACAAGACAGGGGTCCTGGGCTGCATAGATGATGACCTAGGACAGTGCTTTGTGGTTTGAGAATTAATTGTGGAAAAGCTTTGAACTGAGTCTGTTCCCAAAACTGTCAGATCTGTCAGGCAGAATAGTGATTATTTTCATCCTTAAACCCTTGGCGTGGACAGTGATGAAGCAGAGCAGGTGTGGGTATGGGAATATGAGACGGAAGAAGGGGCCCATGACCTTTACATGGACATTGGGGAGGAGATCCGCTTCCGAGTCGTGGATGAAACGTTTGTCGATACATCACCAACAGGGCCGAGCTCTGCAGAGGCTTCCACTTCAAATGCCACAGAAGAAGTCCAGAAGAAAGAGGCACCCTACACTCTTGTGGTAACTATGTGCATAATTCATACGGCCCTGTGAATGTTGTGGTTTATTCTATGTCTAAAATAGCATCCCTTTCGCAAGGTACTGATTGCTTTAAGCCGACTGTGAAGCAAACAGTCACAAAATGAAGGGAGTGGAGAAAGGGAGAAATGAGATTGTTCTTGTGGTTGTGCTGTGTTTGCTGTGTGTTTTCATTGGAACACTTTGTGGTTGTTGTTAGAGTTTCCCAGGAAAATGATTTAAAGCAGACTGTGGATGCAGGGTCTGCAGGAGGGAGTGAGTGTACAAGGAGCACAGAGCTGGGAGAACCACATCAAGGTTTACACAGCAGCTAAATGGTCTTTCCCCAGCAGTGTTTTAGTGCAAGACCCACCTGTGTACAGTGCAAGAGAAAGATGGATCCAAACCAGTGAAAGCTGTGTTTTCCCACAGCTGGAGTATGTTGGGACAGTCAGGAGATGGAATGGGCAAGTGTTTGATTTTCAAGTGTTAAATGCTTGGTGTAGTGTTGGTGAGGTTTAAAGGAGTCTGTGCAAGTGCTGGGCAGGCTCTGATAAGAAAAAAAAAAGTGAGTAGCTCATTCATAACTCAGGGGGGAGAGATTTTGTGGTTTTATGTGTTTACTCCTGTATTGTCTGTGCATTTTACAATTGCGCACTCTCTTCTCTCTGTGAACAGGGATCAATCAGTGAGCCAGGCCTGGGTCTCCTGTCGTGGTGGACAAACAGTTAGCTGCCATCAGAGCCTGCTCCACAGAAGGTCTTTCTGGTGGATGTTTGGGGGGATAATGGGATCCTGCGGGTGTTCGTTGCGCCTCCGAAGCTGAATGAGAAATTAGACCTGCCATTCTCTGTTTCTCCTTCAGCTTCCAACCTGCCAGATCAAGACAGTCGCTTTCAAGAGATGTCAGTGATCTGTAGTAGTGAATTTACAGGCACAAAAAGCCTTGAGCACAGCAGCAACAAACTCAGCTGGAGCTTTGGTCTCCTGCCCTGGAGGGAAAACTGAGGAGGTCTTTACTTGCCTGAATTAAGAAGGGAGTTGACTTCAGTGAATGAAAGCAGGAGAGAATGCCTGTCAAGAAGTATTGCTTCCCTGGGCTGAGAGCTTCATCTCAGGGGGGTGGAAGCCTGCCCTTCTTTTTACAAGAAATGGAGAAGAAACAGCAAAAGGCTAGAGTTAATAAAGGTGTGGTACTCTGGAGACCTGGCAACTGATGGGAGGGATGGGAGGTGGACGTAATGTTCTGCTATGAGTGTGAACTTAACCCATGGGATGAAGTCAGCCAAAGAGAACTGGAATGACCGTAGTTTACCCAAAAGTAGGTTAGGCTCTGTGAAGATTACCACTGTCAGGCTACAGGCTGTTTATTGTGCTGAATGGGAGTACTTTATTGGGTGGGCTGTATCTATGTAGAATGAGCTAAACTTTGCCAGAGTTTGGCTAAAAATACATAACTATGAATTGAAATGGATCAAGGCTGCTTTTAGCAAGTTAAAATACCTTATTGTGGGGGTATTTACACCTGTGCTAATACCAGAGATGGAATAAATAGTAAAAACCACACAGCCTGCCTTCCTGTACAATTTGTGGGGAAACTATTAGCTTCCTGCCTAGCAGGAAGAAAAAAGTTGCCTCCTGCAGTTTAGCTGCTTGGATTTCAAGGCAGACAGTGTTGAGACCAACACTTTGCTCTGCTCTAACAGCCAATAACAAACAATTGCCACCATCCTCCCTGACAGCAGTGAAAGGAAAGGGGGGAACAAAATGGTGAGTAAAATCTATGCAGGGCCCGTTGCCAAGAGTGATGTTGCACATAATTACAAAGCCAGCCACATTTGGCAGGAAGGGGTAATAATTCCCTGGGATAGTGGGTCTGCTTAACCTCCAACTGTGAAAACAAAGCCTGAGTCACCAGCACCCTCCCTGCAGTGTTGTTGGAACCCCTTAATTCTGAACTGTTATTCCTGGTGCATTGCCCCAATTAAAAGGGAGCCCAGAATTCTTCAGGCTTGCATAGTAACTGAGGTCCATCTGCTCAGACAATAAGCTCCCTGAATGCGGTCTAAAGAGCAGTAGTGCTCAGACATGCAATCATCTAGCCGTGATGGAAACAAAACTGTTTACAGAACACCCTCATCTGTTTGTGTAGGTGGAAATTTGGGTGAAGCAAGTTAGAGCCTCAACAGCCAGAGAGAGGCTTCCACACTGGCTGTCCTGGGAGGGGTCAGGGAGGGCAGAGAACAGCCCAAGCACCTCCAAGTAGTTGTTGTGCTCTGCTCGTCACAGGGTTAGAGCTCCCAGGAGTGCAGGGAGGTGGCAGCTGCGTGGCTTTATGTGCTGCTCTAAGGAGATCCTCAACATCAAGGTCCTGTGGGGGAACAGACAAGCTGTGCTTGAGGAAATGGGTTTCCTGCATGATGCTGGGAAAGCATGTAAATCATGCTCCTTGCAAGTTTGTCATTGTTGCTGTTGCCCTAGACAGGAATGTAGTTTGGGAAGGTGGTGACAGTCATGAGTGTAGCCTGCAGGAGGCTAATGACAAGGGATTAACAGTGCAAGACAGCTGTGAGGGCTCTTTTTTTACGAGGTGGGTGTTGGTTTGCTTGGGGTTTTTATTCATATAGATTTACAGAATAAGAACTGGGAAGGCACCATCCCATCTCTCCAAGAAGTTCTTTCCCACCCTCTCAGCAACAATGACAGGGGAAGCAGGGGCTGAAGAGCAGAACTATGAATATAACAACACAAGGCAGAAGAGATGGTCACATTCTTTATTTTCATTTTAAGTCTTTAGCCATCAGTAAAGTGAACCGGCAGAAAACAACCAACTGAGCAGAAAAACCCACCTTAGCTGGTTATTTGCAAATATAAATAACTGTGGGACAACCAAAATTGAGCCAAAATAGAAAAATGGAGCTGGGGAATTGAACAGACAAAAGTAAGCCTAGCTGCACTCCCTTTTCATAGTGTCAGTGAAGAGGAAGTACCATAACAAAAAGGAAGCTATAGTTACATTTGATCAGACATTTATTCCAACAGTAGGCATGGAATTGCACTTTCATGAAAACGCCAAAGCTGAATCGAGTCCAGTGTACTGGGGGCATTGTGCGCACTTAGCTTGATTTCTGCTGCAGCTCCTTCATTCTGTTCAGGGCACTGCCAGCTTGAAACCACTCTATCTGTGACTCGTTGAAGGTGTGGTTCAGCATGATTGTTTCTTGGCTCCCATTGGGGTGCTTGATGATGCATTTCAGAGGCTAAAGGAGAAAGACAGTTTTTATTTCCCCCCTTCTCTTTCAAGGGAGCAAGTTAACTGAAGCTTCTGACAGGAAAATTCCTACATGTTTTTAAAGAACTGAAAATGGAAAATTGTAGCTCAGGGTGGGTTTTAAGATAGAAGTGTGGATGCAGTTTCTTCTAGGGAACACTCGTGCTTAAGGTAACAACTCTAGGAATTAGGAATAGTTACAAGGGTTTCTCTTAACTGTTCAGAAAAATACAATCTGACTCTTGACTTGCTCTCTAGCCCCCCCAACCACTGGTGCAACTGATCTCGTGTGGCTGGCGGGCTGCGCTGCCCACCAGTGCCTGTGCTGCTTCAGGCCTCGAGCACACGGCTCCATACTGTCCTGTCAGCGGCACGTCCCTGCCCAGACAAGACATGCAGACAGTTACCTTCCCAGGTGCAAACTCTGCCAGCCCCACGATGCTTAGCTTGTCCACAGGATGAATCTTGTTGTAGTCTGCTGGATCAGCAAAAGTGAGAGGCAGCAGACCTTGCTTCTTCAGGTTGGTTTCTGCAGAGAACAAACCAAGCATGTTTATAACAACACACTGCAGGTGTTCAGGATCACCTGCTGGCTGCCTAGTGCTTCTCAGAGTAGTATTTCCACAACAAGTACTATATTTGTAGCAAAATCAGCATATCCACTCCTTGTGGTGTATCTGATCAGATACATAACAGGATTCCTGACAAACAGGACCTTGTCATCTGTCAGCAGACAGGGTTGCAGTGTTGAGCTCTGGGGCAAGGTGAACACCGCCTCCACCCAAACCAAATACACTCTGTTTACACACATCACAGGGAAATCCCGACTCACCGTGGATCCTGGCAAAGCTCTTTGTGATGATGACCCTGCCCCCCAAGTGACGTGGCTCCAATGCTGCATGCTCCCGGCTTGATCCCTCACCATAGTTTTCATCCCCAATAACGGCCCATTTGACACCCATTTTCTGTGACAAAAGACACAGATTTACATTTCTGCAGTCACTCAAGTGATGAATTAACAATAAATACCCACACACTAATCTAATTTCAGTGCTACACTACTGACATAGTTGGGCTATGACAACTCCCAGAAAGCTCCCTTTGATTTCAAGGACAGAAATACAGGAATTAAGTGCTTCACAGCAGTTAGGCACAGCCACCCTTGCTAATGAGGATTGTCCTTGGGATCCAGAGCAAGTCCCTTGCTGCCACCTTTCTTTCCATGGTCCTGTGCCAGAGCAGCCAGCATTCACGCCAGCCATATCCCAGCTCTACTTCAGGGAGTGATATGGGTAACTTCTGTCTACTGGAAGAACCAATCTGAGACTTTAAACATTTGATTAGTCACAGATGAAACACTCCGGGAGGCAAAATTTAGCTGCAGTCTGATGACACCCATGCCTTGTAAGCTGTGCAGTGCTTAAAGGAGTTCTTCCCCTTTCAGCTATGATTTCTGGTCCCCCCTGGGTCTCAAGATCCCACTCCCTCTTCCCTTTTGCAGGTAGGGAGAGGATCTCCTACAGGTACTGCCATCATCAGAGTAGTCCCAAGAAAAAGCCTCAACACTTGAGTGAATTCACAGCTGCTGTTATTTGAGAGCAGGAAGGCAAGATATACAGTCTTGGCACAGACTGCCCAAAGTGTGAACATCCTCTTAAAATAGATGTGCCAGCGGAAAGTCTCACCTTGTAGTAACGGGCTGTATCTGGGACTGGCCCAAACTCCTGGGTTAATGCATTCCTCACAGAGTTGGCTTTGCCATTTTCAGTGTTAATGGCACCGATGAGCAGGTTGTTGGAGATGTTGTCCAGGTGGCCACGGAATTTGAGCCATGGTCCAGCTGCAGAAATATGGTCAGTGGTGCATTTCCCTTTTACCTAAGGGGTAGAAGAAAAGAATGTCTTAGGATGGATCACAGTGACTTGACTCTTCCTCAACACTTTTTATTCAGAAGGATCCTCACATCTCTTTTTAAGGGCATGAACCCAAGAGAACTGCATCTGTTACAGAATCAAGACACTGTAAGGCAGAACACAATGGTCATTCTGCATGCATTGGGTTCCAAAGGGTACATTACAAAATTAGCTCAGCCACGACACCTCCTGCCATGTCCTCACATCCCTCAGCAGCAGGTTCTTCAAGTACAAAAAAAGCAATTAAGCCCCTCCTGCTACAGCTCAGCATCCCTGCTGGGGCAGTTCAGCAAGATGTCAAGTGTTTCCTGGAAGTTTCCAATGTGCACCTAAGCTGCCTCACCTTGTAAGAACAGAATTCCCAACCAGAGATGATGACCTTCCCACTGGTAAGTCCCAAAGTGCTTGCAAAGGAATTTTCTATGTCAAAAACCACAAGCACAGCTCGGTATGGCCCTTGGGAGTACCTGCAACACTCTGGCACTGAGAATCAGCAATGTTTCTAAAGGTCAGTTCCTAAGGGATTGCATTTCAGAACTCACCACAGTATTAACCAAAGTTTTCAGCCTGTTAACTCACCACAGACAATGAGGAGAAATTATGAGACTGAAATGCAATGCTTAACTATTGTGAAGCAACTTCACTTTCTATAAAATGAGAAGAGAACGCACATACTGATGGATGAGAAGTTCCTAACAACCTCATTCAGACAAAATGCATCTTAAAACAGTCAGGTATTAGAGATGCTAATTAAAGAACCCATCCACCTTTCTGCTGCAGGTTACATTGGGGACAAATTCTGCAGACTGCATGATATGAGTAGGATCTTATTACATGGTATAACAAGCTTAATTTTTCATGGTATTAGCTAACCACTAGCCCATAGGAGAAAAGTCTCTTAGTTATAACAGAAAGAAGTATCAGAAGGAAACACCTGGAAGGAAGGCAGGCTCTTGCACTTCACTTTCCATACCAATGTGGTTGTAGGGGAGGGAATCACAGATAGCTCAAAGGCACATACAAAGCTTCTAGCAATTGATGTGCAAACCCCTGTTCGAGCAGTCCTGTTGTAGCTGGTGTTCCCCGATCCCCGACTTCACTCCTGACCTTGATGAGGATCAGCATGTCTTCTAGATCCTTGCCATCCCACTTATCAAAGGGCTCAAGAAGCTGAAGGCGCTGGCTTGTGGGGCTCACATCCACATGCTGTCCACTGCCATCCTTGGGAGGGTACTGATAGGTGTCCTGGCCTGGGTCAAACTCCTTCCAAAGAAGAAAGGAAAATCATCAGCCCCAACAGCACATGAAGAGACCAAGCCAATACAGGCAACTGCACCTGTTCTAGTTTTAACATTAAGGAAGAGGTCAGTGCACGAAAGTTCCCTTACTACATATAAAACAAAACTAATGACAGGCCTTCCCTCCCTCTGTCTCCAGATCGAGCAGTTACCAGCTTGGGCAGCTCATCTGCGTCAGGTGCTTCTAGTTTAAACTTCTTCCCATCTGACCCTGTCAGGTAATCTGTCTCAGGGTTAAATTTTAGAGTGCCAGCAATGGACAGGGCTGTGACAATCTGAAAGAAAAAAATGACAAATTTAAAGGCATATTCTACCTGCCTTCTCCTAAGTTGAAAGTCCTATGCCTAACAGTCTCAAAGCCAGCAGCCAAGTTACCAACCAAACTACACTGGGTCTCTCTTGCAGGCAGAGGAATTAGCTCCAGAGACACCCTGAACTATTCCACAGCCCCCCTCTGGCTGTTTCTTACCTCTGGAGAGGTCACAAATGCATGAGTCTCCGGATTGGCATCATTGCGACCTGTGAAATTCCGGTTGTAGGACGTAACTATTGTGTTTTTCTCCCCTTTCTTGATGTCCTTCCTGTAAAAGAAACAAATGTGCTCACCAAGTCCAAAGGGAATATTGCTTCTAGACGTCTCACTGCTAAGTCACTTCTCTCCCTCATCTAAGTGGAACAGGACAATCTCCCAGCTTGGTTTTGGTAGCAATCACTATCTTTTGGAAACGTGAAATGGTGCCTGCACACATTTTCCTCCCCTATGCTCAGACTCAAAACCAAGGACTGTACAAAACCAATCAGACACTGATTCCTGGAGGAGTTTTCATAGCTCACGTTGTGCACTGTTGAACTGTCTAAACATTAATCAGTTGCCTTTGGACATCCCACCATTAGCAGCAACAAAGCCACATGAGACTATATCTCCGATCCCTCCTACTGGGAATTTTCCTCCCTGCCACTCGATGACTGAAGCTGGACCAATTCACTTTTCCTATTTTAAAAGGACTATCCAAACTCCAGTCCACCCTCTCACAGATAACAAATCTCTCTCCCTGCTTTTTACCTACTGTAAGAAGCCTCCAGGTGTGGCCACACTTGTGGCCATTCTGCAGCTTCACTCTAAAGGCTCAATGTACACCTGCAGTCTTTCATTTCTTTCCCT